AGAGAGAGAGAGAGAGAGAGAGAGAGAGAGAGAGCTGAGGCTGTCCAGATGGAGCAAGTGGATAAAGGAAAATTTACCTCGCCCGTGGATTAAAGGATCAAGGGAACTCATGTCACAGGAATCCAAGACTTTTATCATGTTAATTGGCTAACTGAATAACTAGGATAACTTGACCTGAATTGGTTATTATAAATAAAGGTCAGATAGACAAAAGCCAGATTACTGGTAAACTAACCAGGATCGAGGTCCCCTCAGTTTGTAACTGATCCTATTAATATTAGCCTGGTAGTTGTTGGGGTATTGAAATTTGTGTACTTGCATCAAAATGACTCACAGAGTGGATTTCTACCCAAAAGTTAAACACGTACTCATTTTCTATGTTAAAGCAAAACGTGTACTGTGTTTTACAATAACTTAGGAAGTATATGGCAGTTTAGGGATTGACAATCATATGCCATATTCATATGTTATCAACCCAAAATCAGGAAGGGTCTAACATAATTTGGCAATGTGAGATGCCATGCCAGAACATAGCACCATGCAAATTGTGTCACATGTAAAACATAAGGATGTGAAAAAATATGAAGAAATAACCTTAATTTTTTTTGTCACAAATTTAAAAATTGGAAGCACTGAACAATTTAGTCAAGTACTAGAACATAAACTATTTTGCTTAAAATCAATGCACAACAGGTGTCTTTATGCATGCCAGTGAAGTAACAGATTTTACAACCACTAAATAAAAACTGGCTAGAAGTTGACCTGCAGATCGTTGCAAAGGAGAGAGACACCATCCACCATAATCATATCGACATAGGGGTCTGCAAAAATCAAAGAACTATAAGTGACACCCACATAGTAGAGGATAATATCTAGCTTGTGGCCATCATGCAAAGAAAATCTACTAAACTGGATATCACCGAATTCCTAAAAAATGTGATAAAGCTTAAAATATCAACACAGGATATTTATATGCAAGTATGAGTTATGGCCATCCGGAAGAAGTACCTATCGACATTGCTATCAAGGATCATTCTAAAGAAACAGGCTATACACTCTGTCCAAATGAGAACATTGATGAATAGCAAGAAGAATTAGTCAAAGGTAGAATCTGAAGCATGAAAATACCAATATGGTGATCCCTGTAATTGCAGGTACACTAGAAACACATAATCAAATAAATTTGGTGATAATTAATTGTTTGACTATATAAAAAGCTTAATGCCGTTGGCCTTCATGGTGAACCACAAGACTGGACACCCTGCAAATGAATGGCAGTAGGGTAGCTTGCTCACCTAGATATTGTAACTCAAATCACACACATTCAGAACATTGTGCATAAATCCTTATGAGGCAAGATAAAAACAAAGAACAGGCATGCCAATAAAGCCAAGTCAATCTCTGCACTGAACCCAATAATGATCAAACTTAATCCATATGGCATATTTTTGAAACATCGAATAGCTAGCAACCTATGTTACCTGCGTACTTCTATTATGAAGCCAAACCCATACTTGACAAATACCTGTACCTGTAGCCGTACCCCTACCCAAACCTCTTGGACACTTCTTGAATATAGACATATGTTTATTCGGACGTATACTCAATTATATAATACATGTTTAAATTTAACACTCCTCATACACTTCCTAGATGTATATTCTACACTTCACATCTATTTATTATATATTAATCTTATGTAAATGAAAAAATAATATTAATCTTATGTGAATTATTAATTCTAATACATATAAATATAGATAACATGCATATATATACCCGTGTCCCCGTATCCTACCTTTTACAAATTTTTCGTGTCCCATACCCATACCCGCACCCGTGCCCGTACCCATGCAACCTAGCTAGCAACTAAATATCACTTCGAAAAACATAGTGTTGGACTAAGAGCACAAGAAGGAAGCCTGCGCCTCAATGAAGAAACTGCTGAGGAAGAACACAGAATGTGAAATAAAAAGCGTAGAAAGAGGACATGTGCACCGAAAAAAACAAGAGTAGTAAAGCAACATTAGCTACTATAATCTTCCATTCATTTGCAAAAAGGATAAAAACTGACACCAAAGAACAGAATAAAGGACAGTAACAAATTAGTGGTAAAGATAGAAAAAGCAATCTGAAACAACAGCTGAACACTATGCAAGAGCAGAAAGTGAGATTGAAGAGGATGTTATTCATAGTTCAGGTTAGTTAAATTGGATAAACAGCTCCTGAAGTGTTATGGGACCATGGGATACCCATCAAAACAAAGAACCATTTACAAGATGGATTAAGGACCACTAAAACCTAATGACAGAATGTTTCGGCAATCAAGCATCACGGTATACCAGAAGAAACTAACGAAATGAGATAAAATAAAATAAACCAAAGTAGAACATGAATACTATAGGCAGAATTACGTACTTATGATAATCTTGTCAATATATGTGTTGTGTGGATCCTTGCACTCCCCATATATGACTGGAAGATCCTCTTTATTGGTTGTCACAGCAAGTATTGATTGGTGAACTCCTTGTCATAAGTACATTAACTTGACAATTAACGTGTCTATAAGTCACAGTATTACGCATGGAAGCTCCAACTTACGCCTTATGTTCATGAGCTACGTTCATAAATATCAAGGATAAACATAAAACTTCTCTTGCATGTGTAATAATTTATAGACTACAACAATAGGCAAAAGCACACTGATATCTGGCTCTATGTAGGTTTCAGCCATCTTGCAACAGACATTAACTGAATAAAGAATGATTATTGATTACTGCTTTATTACATCAATGAAAGTTGTTAATGGAATGGTTAGACATTGCTGAATGATATCACGGGAACCCTTCTAACAGTTTTTCCTCTCACAGACAGTCAACACCAAGTAAATGGGCATGCTGGTCACCATACAACAGTTACTCATAGCAATTCTCCTGCTGGAAGGTGCTCACCATGCTAGAAAAGCTTACACTGAAATGGGGAGGATGGATCAAGGAACAGTGCAGGAGTGTGGCCTTTTCCAGTTGCATTACTCTCTAGCTGGGATGGTGTAAGAAAGATTTTTTATTTTATACTCTTAGCAATGAATACATGTCATATTTTTGGCCTCTGTTTTGAATAATAAACAAACAGATCACTAAATAAAGCTCAGCAGAAGGAAAAGAACTTCAGATTATTAGGGTACAGTTTAGCTGTGTTTTAGACTTTTAATGCAAGACAAGGTTCAAGATGCCCAGTGTTCCAAGTGTCTAGGGACCACCTGGATCTGCCTAGGCATCTGCCTAATTAAAGCATCATGAATGTTGGAGTGTTTAAGCAGTTTCCTACTGCCGTCTAGGGTGAATACTGAAAGCAGAGCTATATGTTTTGCTTCACAGCCATCAACACACAAGTAGACAGAAACTAAGAAGGAGGTAGTGTCACAAATACCATCTAAATAATGAAATGAACATGATTAAAAAGAAAATAAATTAGGGAAATTGAGTTAATTGTGATGTAGTAACCAAACATCAGTCAATCTAACCTTTGTATCTGATGTAAAGTGCTTCGACACGTCTAGAATCAGTGACTGCCCGAATCTGAGAATTGTTGTAATGAAAATCAAAAGCGCCTTCTAGATGCCAGTCGCTGGCTTTCAATGCCTGGTATGCTTGTTTCTCACTAAAAAGTGGCAAGAATATGGATTGTGTCATATATCATACAGTAGGAAAAATTAATGCTGTGAATCAGCAAAATAATTCAGCTTGACACTATTTCTTCACATTTGAATATCATATACACTGAATACAAAATAGAAATTAACTCGAATAGGGATCAACTTTTTAATTATTTGTTAGTGATCCAATAACATTACGCAGCAAATAGCATTTTGCATATATTTCATGGATACTGTAACAAGAAGTTGTAATCATGTTATATAAACACCATGTTCGCACATTTTAAAGAAGAAAATTCCGGTCAACATCAAAATTTATGAAACTGACAAAAAAGAAAGTCATCAACAAAGGGAAGCTAAGTGAAACAGGAAATAAGAAGTAACACTTAGTATAGTGGACTACTCAGTGCCTGCAACAGAGCTTCAAATCTAAAATGGAGAGAGTAGGGTCTTCACTCCTTCAAGCACACAACCCTATACTTAATAAAGCCTATCCTTACAATCTTGTAAATATATCAGGTTAAGCAATCAACACTACTATAGTAAAAGGAAAGTCCTTCCACAAGTAAAGATATGCTCTTCAGAGAATATGCAGTTTTCAATAATTTTTACATCTCCATCCACTTAAAATAGGAGAAAGAATACTAATGCAATGAAACAACAATAACTCAGAAATAGCAAAGATACAGAAGAGAAAGTAAAACGAGTAGAGCAAAGAGAAGAAAGGAAGGTGAATGAATAAAAAAAGAGGAGAAAAAGTATTAGTCATGTTAAAAATCTTATTGATTTTACATTCATTTATCAACAACTTATGTGGTCATATAATCAATTTACTCTTCTGCTTAGTTCAGACTTTGACTTATTAACCTATAACTATTGCTTTAAAAGGTGGAGGTGGTGCCCAGATTGTTCTATTCAGGGTACTGACCATCGGATATCAGGGACATGTTGGATGGAAAATTTCCGTATCATATGACGGATATCGGCGATATACCAAAGACATTTTTGTAAATGTCAGCGTGTCATATCCAATTGTGTGTGTATCATAGATGTCGATACTTGATTCATCAAAGGAATTGTGGAGAAAGGTGATATTTTTTTGCAAACTCTTGCAAAAGAACTTGGCCTCAATTGAACCGTAGTTATTACAGTTATTTACATAAGTGCATATTTGTCTCGATTTAGACCTCAACTGAAACATAAACCAATTTTACTCTAGTTACCTAGGTACTTCTATCGTGAAACCATGGTTCTTGTTCCGGGACACATGACAGAAGTACGCAAACCATTTTCCATGTGCATACATATCAAACCCATTCATGCAAATGGTAGAAATGAGAGCAAAAGGAAGGGACCCGATAAACTTTGAGATGTATTCAGAAGAGCATGACGATATAATTCCTCCGACATTAAAAAACCAGACTTCCCAAAGGAAGCCCAAGGCAGACCTTTGCACGGAATTCTTAATGTATGCCATCATTCCAACATCTCCTATAGCAGAATATTCTAAACACACGCGCGTGAGCGTGTGCACGCGCACACTACGCATCAAAAGATAAAGAGTTATTGTTAGTAAAATGTGCAAGGTCCAGCGCAAACATATTCAATTCTGTTTAACTATTAATGAAGTCATATATTTAAGCCACGGGCAAATTAAACACCTCTGTTCATCTCTCATTTCCATATATATCGCCTAACATATATGACCATTTCTAACCAATTTCATCTCTCGTGTCAAAATCCAGCATAGAACCAGCCCTTTTAGTTAAGTTCTCAGCTGAAGCACAGCAGTTTATCAGAGTAGAAACATGTCAGGATTTGACTCAACTGGCACCCTAGCATGAATATCCATGTGCTGATGAATATTCTAAGTAGAGAAAAACTAAGCAAGCAACTATCAAATATACAAGTTAATAAGAAAAGGTAAAAAGATTTGGTGGAAAAAAGTTGAAACAAGGAAAACTATATATAGCAAATGACTATTCTACATACCCAGTATAAACAATGTTAAGGAGCTACAGAGCTGATAGATTAAAAATACAGATTTATTAAAGCTACCTGGTCCCAGTTATTGCCATGAACTGCTGGATTTTGTCACGGTTTCCTCTGCTCAGTTTATGCTGTCAGAATAAGTTAGATTATATTTTAGAAGCAACAATAACTCGTTCAATAATACGCAAATTATTTGGTGTACATGAGCCCACTAGATAACAGATACAGAATTACAAAATAATCAAATAATATGACGAGACGAAACGAAACAGTTCTGATAGCCAGTTTTCCCCCCTTTTTATGTCAATGACAACAACTGGTCACATCATTGATCATAATAGAAGAAATTTTCTAAACAAACACATTCATAATTTTTTTCTAAAAATAGACCCCCTTGAGTTTTTTTTACAAAAATCGACACATTTTGTCTTAATCCAGTTTCTAATAGTCGGGGTTGCCAACATCGACTATTTTAGTGCATCGACTATTTTAGTGCATCGACTATTTTAGTGCATAGAATGTTAGGATTTAGGGTTATAATTAGGGGTTTACAACCTTATAGTCGGGATTGGCAACCCCGACTATTTAGCAACCGGATTAAATGGGTCTATTTTTGTAAATAAAACTCAAAGGGGTCTATTTTTTTGGAAAAAAAAATATGAATGGGTTTATTTAAAAAAATTCTTCATCATAATATCATTCAGCTCATAACAGTTTCAGCACAGAAAATGTGCTGAAACCCTTGTTTCAACCAGAGAAATAACGAACTATGCAATAAATCCAAATTGGCTAAAATTTTGTTCAAGCAACAATCCAAGCACAGGAACAAAAAAAGAACAATTTTTCACTTCGGCCCCATTTAATTTTTTTATTATTGAAATCGATCCTTTTTTTTATTTACCAAAACCGACCCGATTTCTTGATTGGCAGCTTAATCACCTTCCTAATTAGTCGGGGTTGGCATCCCAACTATTTAGGAGGGTGTTAAACCCTAATTAGAAGCATTAAACCCTAAAAACTAATTAGGAAGGTGATTAAGCTGCTAATCACGAAATCGGGTCGGTTTTGGTAAATAAAAAAAAAGGTTCGATTTTAATAAAAAAATTGGAATGGGGCTGAAGTGAAAAATTGTTAAAAAAAAATGCTTCATATTTTAATAGATTAGGTTTACAAACAATTTCCCTTCCAAAAATACTTCTATTTAGTCTGAAGATCTTCGCTCTACTCCGCTGATTTATCTTCCTATCAATTTACAGCACAGATTTCAAAATAAAATTACTCGAACTATGAACTCAAGCTGAAAAAGGCAGACAATAGGATTTTCATTATTCAGCACTAAGAAAAGCTATAAATCTCGGAAAACCTAGATTTCTAGAAATTGGAGAGGGGTACAAGAACTGACCATTCTGTCTTCGCGCGAGGAAACCCTAAAATTTCTCGGAAGGAAATTTGGGAGAGAGAAGAATAAGGGTTCGGAATTTCCTCTCTCTCTTCTTCTCTGTTGATTCTTACGCAATTATTTCGTCTTTATGATCGCTCTCAGAAACTCAAGTTACTTAAATGCCCCTTATTTTTGAGCTCGGTGAGGGTGTAAGTTGGCCGACAGTGCGAGGGTAGTTTTGTCAGTGGAAGTGACTGATCATGGTTCGCTGGTTTCGGGAAAGAGCCGAAAGTGGTATTGCAGGAGAGTGATGATTGGTGGGACTGGTTTGTGTAAAATGGACCGGCGGTCAATTGGACCGCGAAGGAACTGATTACGTTGGATTTCTGGCTGGGGGCTGATTCCTTCCAGCTGTGGGGCTCTACTGGGCTTCATTATTTGTCCTGCATTAATTTATCATAACTCTTGGAATCTAACAGCTCTATAGATAACCTTATTAAGCAGTAAGGAGCTTGTTTATAATTTAACAATACCTATAAATAAGGGTGGAAATGAACCAAAAAATTAACAAATTGTTAGATATTGTTCGAGTAACTATTAAGTCATATTCAATTCGATTCGGTAGTTTATTTACCACTTGTTGATGCTCATGAACAAACAGTCGATGGGGGTTTCCCGCAGTCGGATGCAGTTTTGATCCTGGCGACGGTGGGAAAGAAGGAGAGGATGAATGTTGGGGCCGACTCCTCCTCTGACTTTATGCCCGATTCTGAGCCCGCGGGGTGGACTGATAGCCTGGACATGCAAGAATCGTAGGAATACGGGGCTAGTTTCCCCCGTGGTACTTCCGACGGTCAAGTCAGTTGATGAACTTGGGGAGGGTTTTTTGAGAGGCCCCTGGACCATTGAGGTCCTTGCAGGGGGTATTTCCTCTAGAATTATTAAAATGCTCTTGATAGAAAAGATCCCGAAGGGGAGTAAAGCTAAGGTGTAAGAAGAAGCAGAGATCTAACCCCCCTACTCTTACCTTCCTTACCTCCTTTTATAGCCCCCCTGCCTCTGGGAGTTTGACCCTCGGCTTTTGTTGACTACGCACAGGAGGCGGTTTGGAAGGTGAACAGGCGGACTGTTGAGTCATCTTTCTTCCTCTAGGTGTCGACAGGTGACTGGAAGGGAAGTCTTCAGTGTCAGGGGAGAAAGGTCTTCTCAGTGCTCTGGGTTTGTCAGAAGAGGCAGGTGTAGGGTAGGTCGGTTGCGTAGCCGTCCTTCTCTCTCCAGGTGGTGGCTGGGAATTGGTGGAGAAGTCATTCGTGCACAGAGAAGCATCATGGCAATTCTCTGGGAAATGACTTGTAAGCCCAATAAGCGGCTGGTGCTTATCAAAATGGAGATCTTGATGGGACTAATCATTACTGTTGTGTTGATTGACGTCTGAAATTATCATGATCGGCTCTTATCCCCTTGGCCGAGGCAGGTTGATCTGCGAGTCATCATTATGATTTGGCGATCCGGTAGTCGAGTCGTCTGCTCAAGGAGTTGTCTTAATTACGAGGGGGCGACTGATCCCGTTCTTCGAGTCGGTCATGATGACCTGTAGATCGGAATAAGGCTTGTCTGCTCGTCTAGTCGAGGGACTTGGCTCTGACTAGGCCTTTGAGCCTCTAAGTTGATTCAGACCTTAGCTCGCTTGGGCTTATGTAGGTATTCTTCCGATACTTCTATTTTAGTATGGTGACTAACCATAACAGTTGGCCCCTTTCAGTCGAAGCTGATTTTGGTCGGGTCTGAGTGAAATAGGAATGAGTTTGCTCCGAATATTTGAGATTTTCTAGCCCGTTGATCGTGGCTTAGGAACGTAGCGTGGGGTGCGCTCAACCGCCACTCTTTGGTGGATTGATATTGTCGGTTTTGGGTTGGCCAATTGATTGGTGTGAGCGGCGGTTCGTATCTCCAACGATCCGTTTCAGATTCCCGAAGTGTATCTGCATTGTTGCTCCAAGGATTGAGCCTCTTGAATTCTCCCGCCTGCTTCTTCAATGGTTTATAAATAGTTGTCGACGCTGTTGTAAGAGTACTTTATCTCAAGAACATTTTTCTTCGTAGGTTCTTTCATTTCTTCTTAAGAGCTTTTATCATGGCCTTTCCTCAGAATGACCACTAGAGGAAGCTCAGGGTCCTTTATGTTGGCCTTCTTGTTTTGATGATGTTTAACAAACAATTTATAACTAATGTTGTTTGTCTAGTGCTTGTATTATCTATTAATTGTAGACAAACAACGTAGTTGGAGGTTGGATGGATCAAGTCTACACGATCATATCAAGAGGAGGTTGGCGGAATTGTGGAGTGAAGCATCGTACAACTCAAGTTCAAGATCCAAGTTCAAGCTTCATCCGCGAGATTACCAAGTCAAGCTTCTTGAAGATCAAGATCAAATCAAGGAATCAATTTGGCCTTTTGGGTAATTTTAGTTTAAGAATTTATATTATGTGTGTTAAAAGTACGTTAAGCTCAATAATCTATACACAAACGAACATTATGTTTGGGTTTTCAAATATATAGATTATTATATAAGTGATAATATGAATATAATATTACATTATGTTTTTTGGTTTTTAATAGTTTTCGGGGCTTATATATGAAAGCAACATTGGCAATAGCAATTGGAAAAAGATACTAATTTTTTGGGCTTTCAATGCTTTATATGTTTATATATTATGATTTCATCTTTAACAAGCTTTATATTTAATGAAATCAATATTTAGTGTTTTGGAGATATTATTGGCTATAGAATAATGGCAATTTAATGAAAAATAATGGTATTTCTAGTTATAGACTCACTAAACAACCCATGGTTATATCTTTTATTCAAGTCTAATACAAATCATTTTTTCATAAGGGAGTTTCAAACAATGTTTTGTTTAAGTCAAAAAATATCAAAATATCTAATTTCAAGGTTTTTCATGGTTTTTTTGACACATATTTGCAAAATGATGAAATCATTTTTTCATTTGGGAAAAGTCCTTTCCTGTATAGAATGTTTATTATCATGTCTTACAAAATCAATTCCCCAAAGTTTTTTAACATTTCTGGGAAATTTTAAATTTGATATTTCTAAAACAGCGTTTTAAAAAAATCCAGTAAAAACCATGTTTTCTGTTTTCTGTCAAATCATCCGGTTTTCCGGTCGCCGCCACCGGTTCGACGGCGATACCTGGAGTTCATTAATGTTTTTCACTGGGCCGACTAGAGAGTTCCCCCTGTCGGGTCGACACAAGTCCCGGTCGACCGATGAAAATTTTCCCGATCGACCGATGAAATTTTTCCGATCGAGCCGGACGAATGTTGGGGTTTTTCCAGCTTCACCAACGGCTAGTTTTTTTTGGACCGTTGCCTTGGGCTGTTTTTGCTTTGCTTGGGGGTTTTTGCGCTGCAGTGTGAGGAAGGGTTTAATAATACCCTATTGCCTTCCAACTCCTCGCTCTGGCTAAGCTAAACCAAAAAGAAGAGTTTGAAAAAATACAAGAAGCGAAATGTTTAAAAGATTTTAACAAGGGTTTTAACTTGTTTAGTGTTTTTGTTTTAAGGTTTTTGTTTTAAAGAACAGGGCTTTTAAGCAAATTGAGTGTTTCGGTTTTTGTGATTTCAATTCAAAAAAGGCTTGAGGAGATCATCTTTATTGGTTGGTTTGGCCATCCAACTCTTCTCGCCTCCACTCTTGATAGTATTGAAGAAGTTTCTCTAAATCTAATTTCTAGTTTTTTTATATATTTGATTATCAATTGGTTTATTTAGCCTAGAAACCTACACTTGAGTTTAGTTTTGATTGATACTCTTTGTTCAAAACGTACACCAACCCATTGAGGCTTATTTGTAATTTACATTCATATTATAATTTAGGGTTTGTGGTTTGTGCACTATTGAGAAGTGAGCCTTAAATTTGAGTTTGCTCAACCTTGGTTTTTGAGAAACAATCCAATTGATTTATAATTGTGGCTTAATTGTGAGGATTCCAGCTTGTAATACAATATTTTGTTTACCCAACGAGAGAAGTTGTAGTGGTGAGAGAATGGGGTTCGAATCCAAGGAGGAGTGGCGTCGGTTGACGTGCCTTAGGGAGAGGTTGTAAACCAGAGCAACTTACAGGAGGAGGACCACGGCCTAGGACCAAACACATGTAGCTGGTGGTGAGGTGGTGATTACATAGTGATTGGTATTGTGGGAAGGTTTAAACGTTTTGTTTCGGGGGTGAAACGTAAAGAAAACCCGGCGGTTGTGGATAGTGGAGAATTCTCCGCTCGAGGTGAGGAAAGCGGGGACGTAGGTTCCGTGGGACCGAAACCCATCGTAAAACCATACGTCCCTTTGTTGGTGATTTGCTTTTGGCGTAAGCCTTTTAGCACTCCGTGCATTTATTATTCCATATTGAATCTTTTGGTCCAATTTTGCTCATTTGTTGTTTTTTTCGCCTCTATCTAGTTTTATGATTAAATGTCACGCTCGTGTTAATTTTTAATAATCCATTGCAACATATATTGTCCCTTAATACCTCTTTCCTTAGGAATATATTCTTAATGTGGTTCATAGTATGCCACTTTAACACAGTATTTTCTTATCCAATATAGGATATATCTCTTTGTTGTTCATTTTACTTATCCTTAGCTTATATATAGTTGTTAATTATTTTAAATACTCTTGCTAGGAAATAATTTTGTTAATAAGTTTTCTAATTGGCATTTAAAGATCGATTAGATTAGCATAAGAACCTAAATCCACCCCGGCCCTCTAGGGTCCAAAACCAATTGGTAATCAGAGCCTTGGTGGCTCTTTGGATTAAGGACTAACCGCCTTGAAGTTTAAAGATCCGGCACAGTTATCTTATTTGGTTTGCTAATCCTAGTTTGAATTTTACATAGTCTTGCTTGGCATATTTTGCACAATATATATCTTGAATATGAAATGTATTTTTGGTTTAGTCTATAAATTTCAATGTTGCCTCCTAAATTCATTAATTTTCGCAAATATGTCACATGGGCCCGCTTCTAAGATTTTAAACTTATTTGTTTTGAATCTAAGAAATATTGACTTATGGGAAAATTAAAATTGATTTGTGCCTTATATTGGTGGCCGCAC